TACGCAGACAAACGAAGAAGACCTTTGGAATTTGGTTGTTGGAGATTATGTGTATCTCAAGATATCTCCTTTGAGAGGGGTACATCGGTTTGGTGTCCATGGCAAGTTAGCCCCTCGGTATGTGGGTCCATACAAGGTGTTGCAGCAGTGTGGTCCCGTTGCTTATCGTCTCCAACTCCCTGAAATTCTCTCGGCGATTCACAATGTATTTCACGTCTCATGAATCGAAGAAATGCCTACGAGTTCTGAAGAATCTATAGAAATAGAAGGACTTCCGCTCCAACCTGATCTGTCTTATGTGGAGCATCCTATAAAAATTTTGGATGAGAAGGAGAGAGTGACCAGGAGCAGGGGTGATAAAGTTTTACAAGGTACAATGGCAAAATCATTCTGAGGCTGAAGCCACGTGGGAACAAGAGAGTTACCTATTGAAGCATTACCCCCATCTTCTCTCTGGTTCTGATAGTGAGTTGCTGCATCGAAATGTATTTCCTACCTTCTTCTCACACTAGGCACATGAAATCTCGGGTCGAGATTTTGTTTTAGGGGGGTAGATTTGTAACACCCTCGGTGTTACGCTTTAATCAAAATACTAAACCATGTCATGAGCATCATGTTTATGTATTATTGCATGTGGTAAATGAGAAATTAAATTTTATTGCACTAATTCTCAAATTGAGCTCTAATTTATTCCTTGTCCAAGTTATCCTTCCAGCACGTCATCTCTCTCCACGTGAGAGGTCCATAGCCACAAAGTCAAATGATAAATTATTGTCATTCACTAATTATTAGCATACCACTTGGCAAGATTTATATCTCCATCAATCTCGCGACGCGCCACTGTCATCTATCGTTGTTCTAATTACCCCGTCTGTACTTCGCTTGCTAATCACCTTACAAAATTATCAGTGCACGACGCGCTACCACTGCCATAGTGTGTCGCACACGCTACGCATTTATATCACTCACAAGCTCAGCCCACCGAGCACTCCGCTTGCTCGCATTTCGGTTGTGCGGCAGAAACACCGTCACGCAGGTTATCGCCCACCACCAGAGAAAGTATTGTTCACTCGTGGAAATCGATGGGCACCCCTTCTACACGGATCATGTAGCAAGACGGAACATCATTCACGGCGTAAACACGGTTCTCGATGGTTTCAACTTTTCCACACGCGCGCCTTTGTAGCACGATAATGCATCGTTCACGGTAGCAAACAAACACGTTCATCGAGCGGAACACGTAGAAACAACATGAAGCGCGAAACACCGTTCATCCGAGAAAATACACCACCCACAGCAAGTTGCTTTTGACATGTGGTCTCCTCCATTGATTTTTTTTTTGACCGCTCGTTGCCTCTCGCATGCCCCAACGAACGTCGTTTTTTTTAGTATGCATGTCGATAATCTTTGATGATCCAAGGAAATGAACTTTATTATAATGAATAGGATAAACATAAATATCTATGAGTATTGTTAGAATATAAATAAATTATTAGAGAGCATGATATAAAAATAATTCGATGTGGGTTCAATGTTTATCCACGAATGAACTTGTAAGCACCGTCCTTGAATTACTATCATGTAGTAATTGCGCACAAGTCGCCATTGCTTTTGCTTACGAAAGTTGCCAGCCACCGCCAAGCACGTTTAGCCCAAAGCCCACTCCAGTCCTGACATGCTCGTAAGTCCAAGACCACTCAAAGTTCAATCCTTGAATTAATTCTCTCATGACCAAGACCTCACCACCGCACACGGCACGGAGCCAGAGGACAACCCTGCCAACTCGTTTCATGCTTCCTGACTACTCATGACCACCCACGATCAGTGCTATATATGGCTCTACTCCACTCCACGTAGGGCAGGCATTTGCTAAGCTCCCTGGTGTCTCTCCTCTTGCATTGCCTCCGCACATCGATCACCGTAGGTGGCACTTCATTCAATTCTAAGGTAGCTAGCATGTAAGAATTCCTTCATTCTTCTTCTTATTTTCTTGACTCGCGGTCTCATCTAGTAATTCTAGACCCACAGTCATGTGCAAGTCAGCAAGTTCAATTGCGTGATTAGCCTCCTCCAATAATATCATTTTCTTCATCTCTAGAGCTCATTTGAATTTATTTATTGATTGTGAAATAAATTTTGTTAGATTCCTAAATTCATGACCTACCTGTTAGTGTAATTAGTTCGTATAGTTCAGTGATACCTTTAGGATTACTTTATTATTTTGAAATGCTCGTTATGGTTATTTAGAGAATAAATTTTTATGATGCATGGTAGCTAGTGCACCTTGTTTTATTATATATATAGTAAATTGATATTAACAATAAGGATGCCTTTAGTTGCTAAGATAATACATGAAATGTTTCATACTTGTTTAGTGGGAATAATAGGTAACTTTGCGTATTAGTCATTAGAGTTAGCTTAGTAGCTTGGTAGATGTATTCTTATTTTAAGAGTTATGTTGCCTATATATTAATTATTGCATCATCATCACTGCATGCATATAGAGGACGAGCCACTGGAGATCGTGACATTCGGCGAGCAGGAGTACGACGAAGTCATCGAAGAGTACGAGGAGATCCTCGTGCAGGAGGACGTTCCGGAGCCACCCGTCACTGACTTTGCTGACACCGCGCCTGCCCAAGGCAAGCCCCGGTGCATAACCCCTATTTTTAAATGATCACTGAATATATTTATATGATATGCATTTACGTTACAGGCATTTTATGGAAGCTACATGCATAAATATATCCACCATGAGTCCTACTAGTACAGGTCGAGTAGCTGCTATGCTCAGGATGTCGGTAGCGTGAGTAACCTGTCGTTACTCGCAAATAGGTGATTAAACTATGATATCATGATGAAATAATGGAAAGGAAAATGGTGACCGGACAGGGATGTGGATTTGGTACTGGTGGGTGTGAGGGGTTGTGTCCTGCGGCCAATGGGGCATAGCCCTGATTACACTTTTTTCCCCGCTGTGTCGATTAAGGACCGGTCGTTGCATATGACTCTAGGCAAGTCACAGATTATTGTCCCGAGCACATACTTGGGTATGGGCGCGAGGAAGGCTTGTTGCTTGCTCTCTTATCGCGGATCCGGCTCTTTTCGGACCGATCGATGGGAAGAGGAGGTGGTGGAGGTCCTTGCACCGCACCGAGTCCGGACTCGTGGATGTGGGGGCTTAGAGTCCAAGTTTGACGGGGACACGGACACCCGGGACAGGAGAGTGGTGGGTTAGTCCTGCTTGTGCACAGGGTACAAGCGGGCGTAGTCTTCGGGCACCCATTTGGGCACATTGATTCATGAATCGCCGGGTTATCCCGTGACGGCTTGTCTGCGGTTTAGCAATTGTAGTAAGAACTGAAAGTTGAAAGGAGAAGAAATGGAACCGATTGCTCAACTCTTGCTTGAAAGTAGAACGAGGCTTATATAGATTGATTAGATGAAAACTTAATACGGTGATGATAATAATGTATCAATAAGGACTCACTATTAGTATTGCTTTTTGCTAAAGAGAACCAAAGCAAACCATAAAGCCTAGCATATTCCTTGGAGTCGGGAAAGTATTCCCTTTGTCGGATAAGTCTTGAGTACATTGTGTACTCGGGGTTTATTTATACCCTCATTGCGGTGACGCTTGAGGAGTTCCTTGTGTGGAGGATCCATCTGGTGGGCTCAGACGGAATCCTCGTTATCTTATCGCTAGATGTTATCTTTTAATATTCCGCTGTTTATCATTCCGTACTCTATATTTGGTATTGTAATAATGTACTTTTCAAGAAACTCTAATGTATGAGATAGACTTGTGTTGTAACTCGTTTTCATTATTGGATCCTTGGGAAAAATGTGGATCTTTCGGGTTCTCCTTGGGGTGTGCTCGACGGACACCGTCATCATTGTAGTTACTTTCGAGGTGCTTAGTGTCTGATGGAAGACAAGCGCCTTCGTAAGTACGCTATTTCGGGTGGTTCTGCCACATCCCTTCTCTCCCATTCGAGCAGCCCCGCGGGCGGCTCTCGACCGCGCCGAGGTGGGCGCCTTCGACGAGGGCATCCGTAGGCTCGCGTCGGCGCTGGACGCCGGGACCGACGACGATTTAGGCGGCGGCGGCGTGGCCTTGGGCGCAGAGGAGGTGGAGAGGCGCCACGGAGGAGCTGTGCGTATCTGGCGGGTCATGGCGCTCGGCGGGGGCTTGGTGGGCGGCATTCTCGTTTCTCTTTGCGTCCTCCGTTGAAAAAGAGAAGTTTTTAGGTGCCTAGCCATTAGGTTGGGGCCGTCGGAGACAGTCTTATTAGCTGGCCTGCACCCTGCAATGCAAGACCTGCATGAGCTGCATGCCAATTGCCATCGCAGATCAGTGTACAGTATACGTCCCATGTGTAGGTTTTGATCTGACTGCACTGCACCAACAGTGCTCATGTTGACAACGATACGTACGTGAAAGTGATTGAATACGGACCAGGCAGGGTACACAGGATGCCGGTAGTAGCTGCCTTCGTCTTCCTGGCAATGGCAACCAGCGTTTACTCCAGCCACGTCCTTCCTCGACGTCGTCGAGTGGTTGGAGAAGGAGAAGCAATAAAAGCAGCGTTGTGACGAGGCAACCGCGTTTCCAATGGGCTAGGCCGAAACCGCCAATCCAATACTGCGCTCGGTTACGAGGAAGCCCTTTGGGCCTCGATCCAACAAATAGCGCGGCTCAAATTGGTCGAGGGGGTAGCCCAGAATAGCGCGGCGGAGGACTCGGCCGCGCCGCGGTGGCGCTTTTGGCGCCAGTGGCTCGTAACCACGCCAACGAGACGGGCAGCAACCGCGACCGCATCAAAACACCTCGCCATGCCTCCACCCATGGGCAGCGCAGATCCACAGCCTCCGGCTATCCATCGCGCTCGAAGCCGGCCGATCGGGGGAGCGCAGCAGCAGGCGGGCCGCGCCGGCTGCCGCGCCACCACCGGTAGCCCAGGCCGCAGCCGCCCAGCTCGTCTGCTCCCTCCTCCGTGATGGCCGACGTCGACACGGACGCCAACAACGATCCCGAGCGCAGGACGCGCGCATCGTCATCATCATCGGAGGCCGACGACAACGACGCGGCCGGCAAGACGCCCATCCCGCCGCGCCAGGCGTCGCCGTGCCCGTCCCCGGCGCGCCACGCCGCGGGGCACGCGCTGGAGGAGCCCCCTCGGCGGAAGGCGCCGCACCGCCGGTCCCGTCCCGTGCGGATGTTCCAGAGCATGTGCCGGTCGTTGCCCCTGCTGAACCCGCGGTGCGGGGGGCAGATGCATCCCGGTGCCTGCCGGATCGCGCCGCCGTCGTCGTCGCGGCCCGCCACCGCGCAGTCGTCGGACTCGAGCTCGCTGCTGTCGCAGCTCATCGCGCATTCCTCCTTCGGCGGAGCCGCGTCGTCCCGGCACCGGCTCACGGGCACGCTCTTCGGCTACCGCGACGGCCGCGTGTCGCTGTCGCTGCAGCAGAACGCGCGGTGCCAGCCCACGCTGATCGTGGAGCTGGCGCTCCCGACGCACGCGCTGCTCCGCGAGCTCGGCGCCCACGCGGGCGCTCGCATCGTGCTGGAGGTCGAGAAGCGCGCGGAGCAGAGCGGTGAGGCCGACGGCGCCTCCGGCGCCCTCGACGGCAACGAGGCCATCGCCGCCGTCTGCGAGGGCGGCGGCGCCAACGGCTTCAGGCACAGCCACGACGACGGGTGGGTGCTGGAGGAGCTCATGTGGACCATGTTCTGCAACGGCAAGAGGGTGGGGTACGCGGTGCGGCGGGAGCCCACCGAGGAGGACATCGCCGTGTTGGAGACGCTGTGGGCCGTCACCATGGGCGGCGGCGTGCTCCCCGGCAGGTCGGATGTGGACGGCCCCGACGGCGAGATGGCGTACATGCGCGGGAGCTTCGAGCACACCGTCGGGTCCCGGGACTCGGAGTCGCTCTACATGGTCGGACCGCCCGGCGGCGACTGCCCGGAGCTCGCCATCTTCTTCGTTAGGCTATGAATGAACCAAACGAACGAACGAACGTACGAACTACGGTGTACACGTCGCGCTCGTGGTGTCTAATCTCTCTCTCTCTCTTTCTCTCGTCTGGTCTCGTTCGTTGTTCAGCCGCAGCTAGCGTCGTCAGAAATATTCTTGCCCCATCAAAAGATTACTGTATCACGCAAAAAAACAGAACACGAAAGAGTCTGGACGTTCATCGCTAGTATGACAGGTCACGTCGTCGATCGACCACCACGGACATGCATGTAACCTGCAGAGCGCAGCAGCACTGCATACCGCAGCAGGGGCCATCGGCTAGCACTAGCAGTCGCCTGCTCACAATTTTTTATTTTTCGGCTCTTTTTGAAAAATATTCACAAATAGATGCATGATGATTTGATTTTCGTTTATGTACTCTGATCTCGGCGCCATGGCTTTTGGCGCCGAGAAAACATGTCTCGGCGCCATGGCCAATGACGCCGAGTTCTTGGCGAGGTGTTGGACGTGGCACTAACCTGACGCCAACGTGGACAAGACCTCGGCGCCGTAGATCTTACCCTATATCTTTTGGCGTTTGAAATGAAACAAGCATAATTGTTCCGAAGAACATGCAACAACACCATTGCGGTTCAGCTGGTTAGGATGCGTGCGGCTTAACTCAAAGGCCTGGGTTTGAACCTCGGCGCTGATTTTTTTTTTGCTATATTTTTATAAGTAATACAACAAGAAAAATTATTTTGAGAAACATGCCGTGGCGAAGTAGGCAGAGGCAGGCATGGAAATTCAGACCTGGCGTCAGTAATAAATTCAATAATCATTGCACCGTTCCTGGCCTAATGAATAATTATTGGCGCGAGCCTTGACAAAATATTCTAGGCTTTTTTAGCTAGCCCGGCCAGGGTTTTGATAAGTAGTTCACATCCTGATTATTCTGTCACATAATATTATACAAAGGGTGGTTTGGCCTACCCAATGCAATTCTCAACCCAAAATGCTTGCAAGTCACGGACGATGAGATCACTTAGAAGTGAGAACAATAACGTTTTCTTAATTGTACGTTTTTTAAATAAACCGTTCTTGACTTGACGAGCTGAATCCGGCCAGCAGACTCAGACACTTTTGCTGGTATAATTCCCGAAGCGTCGAATCAAAACGTTCAAACACAGCCAGATTCTACATGCATGAGACGACACAAATGCATCTCGTTAAAGCATACGGTTTGAACCTGGTTTTCTTTTTAGAGTTCATTGAATCTGATTTCCAGAGACTCGACAGCCTCGTTTAAACGGATCGTGTTCTTTAACCAGTCTGACAAAAGCAGAGGGCGTCAAAGTTCGGGTGGTTCCTTTTATTTAAACTGTTATAAAAAGGAACAACCGACTTGGTTTACAGCTGAATTAAGTCAAGATGTCAAATTTACCTGAATAATATCTAGAATGATCTTTTTCAGTTCATGTACCCCTCACCTCACCTCCCAACACGCTCACACACACAACGGCCACATTCGTTTCGCTGAAAAAACAAGCCGAAACATTGTTCCGACTGATTTGTTGGGAGAGAAAAACACTATTCCGGTTAAAAAAACAAGCTAAAAAAGACGGATTATAAGATAAACGAACAGGGCCAACATCATCCAATTTGACATTGGAGATCTGAAAATGTCAGTTCTCATAAGAAGCAAGTTTAAAATCTTTATATACATGTCATCAGCCATGGGTGACATGCGGATGGTCTTCAGAACAAGAAGGAAAGTGTTTACTGTCCAGATTTACAACAAAAACACCAATTTGACTTTGGATCAGCTAGTAGCGCTCCTGAAATTCAGATCAACTGCAACAGTCCCAAGCACAATCAAATCCACTTTGTTCTTTTCATCTAGACATATGTTTCTCCTATATTTGCTTGCACCAACAGGCAACAGAAGTGCATGCCTCAGGAATGCATCCAGTGGAGAAAAACTGTATCGTCAGTCAAGCAAGGCATGAAATCAGCAGTAGCGTAAGAACAAACAGGGATAACAAACGGAGAAGACATGTCGTTGCATATGCCCAGGTTGTTTAATATTCTTGCACTGGCTCTGTCACTATCTGATTGAGTATTTGCAAAGTACTAGTACTAGTTTAGGAATTGTTAGCAAGAGCATTCACTTAAAAGGTTGCAATACTGTTTGGAACTGAGATTTGGGAACAGAATTTTGGTTTAGTCTGAACTACTTACGGCAAGCTTCGGTTTCAAATACGAGATGTGTTCCTTATAAAAATGTACAAAAAAAAGATTTAACGCCGGGTTTCCAACCCAGACTTTTGAGCTAAGTCACGCGCGTCCTAACCAGCTGAACCGTAATGGCGTAGTTGCATGTTTCTCGGAACAATTATACTTATTTAATTTCAAACGTCAAGAGCTATAGGGTAACAGCTTGGCGCCAAAATCTATGGCGCCGAGCTCGACGCCAAGATCTATGGCGCCGAGGCCTTATCCACGTTGGCGCCAGGTCACCGCCACGTCCGACGTCTCGCTAAGACCTCGGCGCCATTGGCCATGGCGTCGAGACGTGTTTCCTCGGCGCCAAAAGCCATGACGCCGTGGTTAAGGTACATAAACGAAAATCAAACCACCAGAAGTCTATTTACGAATATTTTTCAAAAAAAAGACAAAAAAAATAAAAAATTCGGTCGCCTGCTCCCTGCTGCCGGCCGGCTGTGCCTGTGCCTGGGCCCTGCATGCATGAACCGATCGAAACGATGCACGCATACAGAGGCGCTGCACAGTGGCGGACGAACGACGGACGTGCACACTGCACACCTTTGGCAGCAGCGAGCATTCTCCGTCACGAGCATAGTTTAACAGTTTATGTCACGTGGTTCCATGAAACGATGCACGGCTCCCCACGAATACAGAACGCTCGCGCACGCGAAACGCACGGTGGCGCCCGGGCCGGGGCATCGATGGACAGGCAGTTTAGCCCAGTTCATCTCGTGGATCGATCCACGCTGGGCTAGAGGGGCCGGCCGGCCGGCCGGGGACGCCACGTGCGGCGCGCTGTCCAGACTGCAGAGGCGCTCGGCTCAGACGCCGCCGCTTCCCGTGCCCGGCTCGGCTTCTCGGTACGGTGCTCGCCGTGCGCCCGGGCCCGTGTGCCCTGCTGCGACTCAGCGACTGCGAGGATGTCGTCAGGTCAGCGTGCGCGCTAGTGCATGCATGGCGGGGAGGGGACACGCTGCACGGTCGAAATCTCTGAAATCTGCCGTGGCCGCGACGCTCGTCGCGTACGCTGCCGGTAAAGCGTAGTACCAGTACTAGTACGTGCTGCTGCCTGCTGGAACCTGCTCCGTACTCGTCCTCTACGTTTTTCGCCGTGGTGCATGCATGGGACGTTATCAGGTGCTGAGATTCTTCAGATATGATATGATGATGCTCGCCCGTGGCATGGCATGCAGGGCGCCACACGGATGGACGGCGGCAGCGCTAGTTGCACTGGCCACTGCACGTACACGTCCATCTATGAGCACATGGGTGCTCACAGACAGCGCAGCGCTTGCCGTTGCACGTTTTCACTTTCACGTGCGTCCTGTGACGAATTGATGATGAGGCTCAGGCTGTCTGTGGGTTTGGTTTGTGACTGCTGCTCTGCTGCTGGGTCCGCCCAAGCACACCAGCGCTGCTCCTGCTCCTGTCACTGAATGGCTAACTTCAAAGTTCAGATCGATAATCGCTGCGCTCAAATGGTTTTGTGTTGTGTGTTGGTAATGGCAAGGGGGCGGGGGAAAGATTCTAGCCACTAGCCGGCTCCATCTCCGTGCATGATATGCCGCGCGCACCTAGCGCTGAAATTGAGGCTTGCACGCGGAACTAGACATGGCGCGTGCAGGGAGATTCTCGAGTCTTTTCGCGCCAGTCGACAGGCGCCAAAGGACAAGCCCTTTGCATGCAACACGCTCAGTCACTCACTGCCACTCCCTATCGCAGCAGGCGCAGCATGATCCCCATCGGAGTCCCAGAGCGGTCAAGGGCATGGCAGCCCATGCCCATGCCCCAAGCTAGCTACTCGTAGTCCTGGCCGCTGGCCCGGCCCTCACTCCCTTGCTAGTTGCTACCCATCCACTATCGCAGGCATAAACTAATCAGGCCGGCTGCAGGCTGCAGCTAGTCATCGGCAAAGCTGCAGTATAAATTCAGGGCAACTCCATCGACGAGCCCCTCGGGGACCAGGCTGGGAGAGCCCCGTCAGGCCCCCCTCCTGGTCTCTCCTCTCCTCTTCTATCCGAGCTCGGCATTCAGGGATACACCTGCTTACATCCATTCATGCATAATACATTCATATATGCATATGTATTGTTCATTGTTCGTTCAAAAAATATCATGCATTCTGCTACACAAGGGAAGAAAGGTTTTTGATCGAGAGGCAATGCAATGATCAGGTATGGGTTATTTGGACATTTAGTTACATGGTTCTTCAGTCCAAACTTCTGTGATTATCTGTCCATGCATCTCTGAACTTCAATACTTCTGTTCTCTGCATGTGTGTGAAGGATACCAGCAGGGTGAGGTCGACGATCGTGCATGTGATGTGCATCATGGCCGCGGCCGCATCCATGCATGCATGGGATGCAGTAGGCACACAGAACTGTGTGCGCGGCCAGCGGCATTGGCGCCTCCTGTCGCCACAGCTTGGATAGAGGAACCAAAAAACGGGTCATGTGGCTAGCAGCTTCTGTTTATTTTCACTTTATTAATTAGTTATGATCGCATGCTCTATTGTTGTTAACTGTTGTACTTTCTAGTTCTCTACGCTGTTCAGAAGGTTGTAGATCTTCTGCAATCTATAAGTTCCCTGTTTCCTCCTGAGTTTTTTTTTTCTTGCAATGGTTGTCGTCGTCGTCGTCGTCATGAATGCTTAGCTAGTACTGTGTATATCACTATGCAGTTGTGTATCATAACACCAAAATTGCTAGACCATATGGTTGTGTATTAAAATTTTAAAAGAAGTTGGTAGAAGAGAGAGAGAGAGAGAGAGAGAG